TAGAAGCACTGCATTATCTCAGAACAGCCTACAAAGTAGGAACTGCTATTGTCAACTCCAATTTAAAAAGGAGGAAACTGAGGCTTAGAGAGACTAAATAAGTTACCCAAGGTCACACAAGTAGCTCAAAGACAACAGTGTCACTCAGAGCTGACGCTCTTAACACCAAGTTGCACTACTTCTCTCATTTTCCTTTATTGGGGCCCTTCTTGCTCTGTCCTCTCTTTCTCAAGGTATCATCTGTTTCTGTGCACGTTCTCCAAAACCACCATGATTTTGCCTCTGTACTGCAGGATCAGTGGCTGATCTGCCACTCACACTGCCCTCGCACCGACCTCACTTGCCTCGGGCATTGGCAGGGAGTACCCTTGGTACAGCCTAGGGTGTCCTAAATAGGCCTGGCTTGCTTCCGGAGCCTCCCGCTAGGGGTCTGCCTGGCAGCGAGTGACATCACAGAGTTTGATTCTGTGATTGGCGGTTTTTAGCAGCACTGCAGTCTGGTTGGCCTGATTCTTCCCCACCCCTTGCCTGGGCCAGGCTCTGCTGAGGAGTCGTCAGGGCTGCCTCAGACCTGGTCCCAGCAGTTGGAGGGCTCTCAGGAGGGATGGAGGGATCTGTGTGCAGATAACCATTGGAGATTATGCACCGTGCTAGAAGAGGCCCTGTAGCAGGGGAGTGGAGCTTGTCCAGGAGGGCATGTTTTGGGCTGGAGCACAGAGTCTGCACAGAAGATGGTTGGTTTGGGGGAAAAAAAAATAGGTTGAAATTCTGGAGGTCAGGAAACCTAGGTTCGTTCTGACAAGAATCTTAACCATCCTCTGAAGCCTCTCTGATCCTCAAGGCAGACAAAGCCTCTCTGACCTCTGACCTTTGACTCACAGGCCGAGGCAGATGTGGCCTCCCTGAACCGCCGCATTCAGCTGGTAGAGGAGGAGTTGGACCGGGCGCAGGAGCGCCTGGCTACAGCCCTGCAAAAGCTGGAGGAGGCTGAGAAGGCAGCTGATGAGAGTGAGAGGTGGGCAGGGGGGTCCTCAGAGGGTGGGCCGGGGAGGGGGCTGGAAGCCTGTCTCTGCTGGTCCTAACCCGACCCCTACTCCTCTCCCTGACTCTCAGAGGAATGAAGGTCATCGAAAACCGAGCTATGAAGGATGAGGAAAAGATGGAGCTGCAGGAGATGCAGCTGAAGGAGGCCAAGCACATCGCTGAGGATTCAGACCGCAAATATGAGGAGGTGAGAGCCCTGCCCCACTTTCTTCTCACTCCCGAGTCCCAGACACCCCCAGTCATTCACCATGGATCTCCTCCTCCTCTCTTCCCCATCCCCACAGGTGGCCAGGAAGCTAGTGATCCTGGAAGGAGAGCTGGAGCGCTCAGAAGAGAGAGCTGAGGTGGCTGAGAGGTGAGGACACCACAGGGTGGCAAGTGAAACTCGGCTTGAGCCCATGGCTCTGGGGCACTCTGCACAGTGGGGAGGCAGTTTCCCAGGCGTGGGATCACAGGGACGGGTCCTGCCTCTGACCCCTACGTGCTGCCCCCAGCCGAGCCAGGCAGCTGGAGGAGGAACTGCGAACCATGGACCAGGCCCTCAAGTCCCTGACGGCCTCAGAGGAGGAGGTAGTCACCTCTCTGGACCTTTCTGGGCAATGGCACCTTCTCTAGGCTCACCTTCCCCTCCATCTCAGGCTGCTCTCCCTCACCTGCTGGGGGCCGGGAAGGGCCTGGGGCTCCTAAACTCTGCCTGCTGTCACTCTCACAACTTTGCTCTTCTCTTCTCTCCTCCACCCCTCCCCCACTGTGCCATCTCCGCTGTCTCCCCCACTGTGCCCTCACACCCCACCCTGCCACACACCCCCTGCAGTAAATGTGGGGACCTAGAGGAGGAGCTGAAAATTGTTACCAACAACTTGAAATCCCTGGAAGCCCAAGCGGACAAGGTAGAGGGGGGTAGAGGGGCAGTGAGGATGGGGTCCTTCAGGGGAGGGAGGCGATGGGCCCAGGCAGGGCAGGGCCGGATGTTTGATGGAGACAAAATCAGGAGTAGCCTGTGGGGCTCCGTGGAGAAATGAAGGACTTGTGGAGGCGATGAACTGATGGCATGTGTCTGTCCCTAAAAGTATTCCACCAAAGAAGATAAATATGAAGAGGAGATCAAACTGCTGGAGGAGAAGCTAAAGGAGGTGAGAGTCCTTCCAGTCCAAATCCCCCTCAAGCCCCCCAGTACCCGCCAGAGACCTCCTGTGGCAGGGAATCTGGGGACAGGGACGGAAGAGAAAGTTGATAGCGTCTGGGAGGGCCTAAGCTCCTGTCATTTTCCCCATCTTGCCTTTATGCCCAGGCTGAGACCCGAGCAGAGTTTGCCGAAAGGTCGGTGGCAAAGTTGGAGAAAACCATTGATGACCTGGAAGGTAAAAGGGATATTCCTCTGTACCCCTGAACCTTTTAAAATAGGTCCATATTCCCCATGACTTATCTTCCCAGCCCATGATACTTGCCAGTGGTAAATTAGGGTTGGACCACCTAGGACTCCACAGACTCTGGCGGTCTGTGCCTCCCATCCAAGTAGATGTAGCCCCGTCCACTCCAGTGCTTCTCGAGCTTGAGTGAGCATGGAAATCCCCTCAGAGTTTTTAAAACACAGATTCCTGGGTGCTGCTCTGAAGCGACTGCTGACTTTGGGCTGAATCTGTGTCTAACGAGCTCCCGGGTAATGCAGATGCTGCTGGTCCTCACACCACACTCTGCGTAGCACTGATCTAGACAATTCTGTGTCCAAGTGCAGCACCTTCTTCATTAAATAGAGAGCTATTTGGTTTACTATCTAGGTTTTCATGATAACATTAATGGAAAATACTTTTTGAAGCTAGATTTGGTGAAAACAAGCATCCAGGCATTTGCTAGTCTGTAGCTGCTTCTCCCTGTTACCGACAGCGTTGTGCCTAAAGCTCTTTCCTTTTCACTTCACTTTCATAACTCCCTCTTCTCTTGCTTCCAGCCTTCTCAGGCAAGCCTCAGTTTTCTCTCCAACTTTAGGACTTTAGAACTTTGTGGCTTGAGCGCCCTCCCCTTGAAGCAAGCACTCCTGCTTATGCAAAGCACTGTGCCCCCAGGCCCCTGGGGGAGGCAGGAGTTCCTGGGGGGAAGCACCAGTTTGGGGTACAGAAAAGAGCAAAAGACATAGGGGTAAAGAGAGGGGAGGAGGGGGCCCTGACAGCTGTCCAGCCTGTTCTCTGGCCTGTCTCTCTCACTCCATCTTCGTCCACCTCTCTCTGATTCTTGTTCTCTCTTTCCATTACCCTCTCTCCTTCTGTTCCTCTTTCCCTCTATTCCCTGTCCCCATACTCCCACCTGGCCCCACTCCCCTGGACCCCCCAGACGAAGTCTATGCACAGAAGATGAAGTACAAGGCCATCAGCGAGGAGCTGGACAACGCACTCAACGACATCACCTCCCTCTGAGCCTCTCACCAGTGTAGCCCGCGGCCCCTTCTCTCTTCTCCTTTTTATTCTCTGTAATGGGGAGGGGGGCAAGCAGGAGGAGCAGAAATTGCCAACATTGCACAGCCAGGCTGGACGCAGCCTAGGAGAGCCCCCGTCACAGCTGCCGCCCACCCTGACATTTGCTTCATCCTTCTATATCCATCCACTCCTCCCTCTACCCGCCAGCCTCTCCCGCTCTCTGCTGCTTAATAAACTCAACTTGGTCTCCATGCTGTTTTCCTGCCCTCCAGAGAGCACTTCCATCACCCCCACAGAGCACTGGTTCACTGCTGAGACCCTGGCTCCTACGGGCACCCCCGATCTTGTGACCCACCCCTCCCCTACTGATCTCACCCACAAACCACTGTGGCCCACACCGGAACCCTCTCTGCATGACTCTCACTGCTGCATGTGGGCACATATGACCACGTCAGTCAACCACGGGCCCTCTGGTGCCTCTGAGACACACGCCCTTCTACAGACCCAGGCATGTCACTGCCCTTGGAGCATTCAAGCTGTGATTCCAGGATCTAAAAGAATGACTGGAAGGGAAGTGGAATGGTGAGGTGCAGGGGAGGGGTGAGAAGGTTGTGAATGGTCTGGGATGAAGTTTGGAGAGACACTGGATGGCAGCACCATGGGGCTTTCCCTGCAGGTCTGTTTTCTGCCTCAAGTCTGTCTGTCTGTCTGTCTGTCTGACACTCCCTTTCCTGGCTCAGTCTTTGTCTTTCCTCCTGCTTCCAACTCTCTTCAACCTTTTAAAGAAGGAGGGTAAATTAGTTTATGACTCAGGCCTTCCCATCCCACCTCCACGGCCCCAGAGCCTTGAGTGAGGCATCCCTGTCTGACTTGTTCAGTCCATCCATTTGTCCCACCCACAGGGTCCTCAGATCCCTGAATGTTTGGGTCTTCCTGTGCCTCCAACCCACTCCGTGTCTATTTGTCACATCCCCTGTCCATGCCTCCCCATGTTTCTCCCCCACCAACCTCACGGGTTGCTTCCCCCCACAGAGACCTTGGCCAGTGCCAAGGAGGAGAACGTGGAGATCCACCAGACCCTCGACCAGACCCTGCTGGAGCTCAACAACCTGTGAGGGCTGGCCCTGCCCCCAGCCAGGCTGTAGTTGCCACTGAATAAAACTGATGTTACCAGTATCATGGGGCCCTTTAAGCCTTTCTTGGGTGTTGGGGATGGTGGTGGTGGTTTTCCAAAGTGGAGAAGGTAGAGAGGATGCCCCAGGGGAAGAGTGGAGTTGGAAGGACCCCTGAGTGAGCCAGAGGGGTGGGGCACTGGGCTCACTGAGGAGGGGTTGTGAACAGGCTGTGTGAAGCAGAGAAGCCTGGCAGGGCTGGGGGAACATCTGGCCCTTACTCCCCACAGAGCAAAGGAGCTGCTCTCAGCGGCACTGCCCCATTCCAGCAAGTGGCTGGGCCGGGCAGCACGACTGGAAGGCAAAACTGCAAAGCTACATAGGTTTTACTTGAGCAGGGTGAAAACCCAAAAGCCTCAGTGTGATTTTAAGCCTAAAGACCGAGCTTGTCCACACACACACACACACACACACAGTCATTCCAACAATATCGGTCATTTCTTCCTGCTTCCTGATAACATCTACATGAGGCAGAATCATGTCCCCCCACCAAAGATGTCCATACCCTAATCCTGTGAAATGTTACCTTACATGGGAAGGGGACTTTAGTTAAGCTAAGGATTTTGAGATGGGGAGGTTATCCTAGGTTAACTGGGTAGGCCCAACATAATCGCAAGGGTCCTTATAAGAGGGTGGCAAGAAGGTTAAAAGCAGTTGTAGGAGATGTGACAATGGAAGCAAGAGATTGGAGTGATGCAAGGAAGGGGCCACAAGCCAAGGAATGCTTGGCTTCTAGAAGCTGAAAAAGGCAAGAAAATATCCTCTCCTCAGGAGTGTCCAGAAGGAACCAGCCCTGCCAACACCTTGACTTTAGCCCAGAAGATTCATTTTGAACATCTGACCTCTAGAACTCTTAAGAGGATAAATTTCCGTTACCACTGTCTGTGGTAATTTGTTACAGCAGCAATAGGAAATGAACACACCATCCTGTTGATTTGGGGAACAAGGATACGCCTTCCACAGACTTTATTAGAAATATTTATTTAAAAAATATATCTTTGGAGGCTTAAAAGGAAGTAGTGTAATGGGCAGGACAAAGTCTCCAGCTCCCCCTCAGATTCCTCTGGCCAGCTTCTCTGCACATTCTCCAAGTTGCAGGCCTCTAAGCAACAGTCTCCGTGACCTCTGCCGGGTGGTACCTGACACTTCCTTTGGTCCCACTTGGGTGTCTACACAACAGGGAACCCTAATCAGAAATCTCACCAAGGATGAGCTCATTTGCATGCAATTTGCATGAAGCTGTTCTGGACTCCACTTGGGCAGCAGGGGCTGGGCCTGAGGGAGAGGGTTAGTAAAATACCTCTGCTGCCTTCTCATTTGCACAAGGAAGGCGATGCTGGTAACTGCAAAGAGAAGGCCAAAAACCAGGGCCAGGATGTCTCCTGGAGGGAGGAGGAGAGAGACTGCCTCAGGGAGTGAAGAGGAGTCTGTAGGTTCCCTCAGAGCCTCTTCCACCTGAACCCCACCCCTGCCCCAAATTCTCCAGCTGCCCCCAGCATCTCCGAATCCAGCAGAGGCCAGCAAAGGGATGGGGGTGGATACACAAGAAGGGGTAAGATGAGCACTTTTTTCCTCTCTAAAAACAAAACGAAAGAGGTTGTTTGGGAAGGAGGATGCAAGGAGATTTCTGGAGCTTCATTCTGACCAACTCTTGCACTGGGGACAACAGGGGAACCCCCCTGCCTTGATCTGACGCTATCCTATTGGGGTTGGAGTGTGCTCTGCAGAAATGGAGAGGTAGCAGTGGTGGTCCTGACTAGCTCCTGAGGCTGGATGGTGCCAAGGGATGCCCCCAGCCTCAGGAACCAGAGGAGGGGCACAGACTCACCAGCAGCGAGACAGGAATTCAGGTGGACTGAGGAGAAAAAGGAGACATTAGAGCCAGGGGTGGTGATCACCAGTGACAGACAAATGAGGACACATGGGGAGGATGAGGGACCTGTGGCTGGGGGCAGGGGGCATGGCATCAGTAGACAAAGCTGCACCTGGCTCAACGGTCCCAGGGCTGCTGTCCACTCCAGCAGGGAAGGAGGCCTCAATTATTCGCCCATTCAAAGGCTGTGTAGCTCGGAAGTTCAGCTGTAGCCGAGAGTCATCAGGTCCCCACAGGGAGTCAGAGAGGGCATGGAGCTAGGGAGGTCAGCAGACAGTGGGGGTGGGCTCATGACACAGAAGCAAAAGGGTCACAGGCTTACAGCCAGCACCTCAGGGACCCACTGTCCACGTCTCCCTCATCCCCAACACGGCCACTTCATCTCTTTATGCCTCCTCTTTCTCACCTCCACCTACAACCCTTTCCCCCTCATCCCCTATGTCACCACCACACCCCAGCCCCACCTGCTTAGCACTCAGCTTTACTGTCTGGTTGAACACAGTCCAGATGACTCCCTGGGCACAGGGGGGTGTGGTGAGAGACCCCTCATATCGGAAGTAGCGGCTGAGGTCAGAAGGCAGCAGGGCAGATACATCCAGTCCTGGGACCCAAGTCTCAGAGTCTGTGGAGAGGACCTGTGCTGGAGTCCCACATAGATTGACCCCCCTGGCCATACACACAACAAAGCTTTGGGGTACAGGAATACATTTTTATCTCCCAGAAGCCAAGCTGACTCAACTCCCAGAAACCACTTCTTCACTGAGTGTGTCCCTTCCCATAACTCAGCGCAAGACATGACTCAGGAGGTAGTAAAAGGCTTTGGGGCGCACAGAGTGAGAGAATTGCTCCCCTGGCCCTCCCTCTGAGTCTTCACTCTTAGTTTGCACACTGTGATAACACGCTGGAATGCAGATTTAAGCCCAGAGTAAATCAAAAGAGAAAATGCGTTGAATAACTTGTAAATAAATACCTATAACTTTAAAAACACACAAAACTCAAAAAACACAGTTCTCTCTAGTTTAGCAAAACTTAAGGTCCAGCTGGGCAAGTGAAGTTTAAAATGACCTAGAGTGACTGAGAAGGAAAGAAAGATTTCCAACAAAAGTATTAACAAATTTAAAATATTTGATGCTTATGAAGGAGTAATAGACATCTCTCAGAAAAATTTTAGACTCAACCAGACTCAACCCCTGAAAGTTCCAAACACTATTTTTTTGGTCTTATTTGGTTTTTGTCTTAGTTTCTGTTTGGTTTTTAAACATAAAGCCTGTAGCCAGCAGTTTGCCTTTGTCTGTTTGCCTGTGTTCAGCTTCATAGTTATTATCAAGGTCACAGTAGGCCAGTTCACATTTCAACCCCTCTGTGTGGGAGGGAGCCCTTCTCCATCCTCAGACCTGAGGCTCCCCAAGGGCGGTTCTTTATGAGCAAGGGTATCAAGGGTAGTGGCCAAACCAACAAACTGACCTTCCTCAGCGATTTCTCCCAAATGTGACAGCAACTGCTCGTAGGCGCTGTTTTCTTCGGGGCCTTCCTAGGAGATGATAATGCAAGATAGATTCATACATGTATTTAGGGTTATGGCTGGAGGCCTGAAGGTGAGGTGGGTTCCCATAGTCCTCCCCCAGTTCCCAGCTCTGAGAACGCTGGGGGAACACAATATCTCATGTATTATTATTCAAGGTCAATATACTCCTACTTTGCAAACTGACGTAACTAGGCAGACTAGTTTTCAATGGCAAATTGGAGGAAGAGGAGGATGGTGGGTCACTTTACTAGGATACAAGGTTCTCAATGATGGGCTCCACTTACTTTTCCAATCTCACTCATCATTAACTCCACACCCATTCTATGTCCCCACCACAGGAAACCCCAATAAACTTTGTATTCATGTTAGCTCTGCATTCACCTTAATAATTCATGTGTTTGAGTTTTGGAGCCAGGACATGCTATTTCCAAGGTGCTTCTCTGAGCTTTGCGCTGTGAGGCTGGCGATCATGAGTCAGGGAGGGAGTGAGCCTAACAGGTGTTTCACCATCCACAGGTGTCTCACCATCCCTCCAACCTACTAGCCTCCTCTAATCATTGTGTATGTACTCCTGATCAGTACAGGTCCAAAGAGGTCACTAAATGCTTCTCTAGACAATATGGCATTTTGCAAAGGGGAAATTATGGGTTATAAGAGTATTAGACAAATGACTCTTCCTTATGTCCATTCTACTGCATCTGCCATTCCCCAAATGGGCCATATTCTGAGTCTTTACATGTACCGTTCGCTCTGCATGGAATATCGCCTTTTCTTTCCCACTAGTGAAGGCTTCAAGTTTCACCTCCTCTGTGAGGACTTCCCTGACTACCTTGTTGACTCTGCGTCCTGTGTATATGTCTATCCTGTCAGCCTCCCTCACTGGCTGTGGGGAGACAAGGATCCACAGTTTCGGAACCTTTTGTTGGAGCCCAGCTCACAGTGGGTGTTAATGAAAGAACTAATGAGTAAATGAAGATGATAGCCAGGTGCGGGGTGGGGGTGGGTCTCTGGGGCAAGATACTCTGAGCCCGAGGGCTGGGGAAGCAGGGGTGGGGGTGTCCAGGGCTGGTACCTGCAGAAAGGCAGCCAGCACGGCCAAGCCCCCCGGGCGCCCCAAGGCCTCGTCAGCTTTGGCAAATGCAGTGCTGAGGTGAACCACATGGATCTGGAGAGGACACGGTAGGAGTGGGCGAGATCCCCTACCCCGCGCCCCACTTCGACCCTCCGCGGACAGCTGCGCGCTCACCTCGGCAGGGAAACGGTGACCGCCAACCGTGTGCTCCGAGCCCGGGCGACCCGCAGCCCCCCAGTGCAGATGCAACTGCAGGGCCCGGTACTCCTGCCCGGGACCTAGGGCCATCTCCAGCCCGGGAGGCAGACTCAGCTGCACTGCGTGGTGAGAGGCAGGTGAGCCGGGCCCGCCCCTCTCTCCGCAGAGCGCGAGCCTAACTCCCAGGGACAGTCCCTCATCCCCAGCTAGCCTCCGCCCCTTCCCCGAGGCTCCGCCCCGAGACCGCCTCACCGGTGTGGCCATTGTTGCGCAGGCGCAGTTCTGGTTGTGGCGGGAGCTCAAAGCCAAGGAGTTCCAGGGGTGGCAGGGCTGGGCAAAACGCGGTGAGTTCTGGACGGATATCTACCGGGGACTGAAAACGGCCAGCGCAGGTGGGGGACACCTGGGGCCATGGCGGAGCGCCTGGAGTGGGAGAGTATGTACAGGAAGTTTGATGACAAGATCAGGAACTTTTAGGGAAGCTGAGTAGAAAAAGTGATGGGGTCGAGTCAGGAGGCATCCAGACAGGAGATAGAAATAAGGGATGTGGAGGGAGAGAGGCAGCGGGTGGTGTCAGGGACTGGCAGACGCGGATGCGGGGGGAAGAGGGCGGGGGGTGCAGGCACTAGCAGAGCTGAGTGCCCACATTGGGTCTGTGCAGGGGGTGGGTGTCTCACCTCCATAACGCCAATGACTGTGGTCATCCCCTGCATAAATAAGAAGAATGAAGAAGCTGATCTTTGAGCCCAGTCCCTCCCCAGCGGCCAAAAGGTGGTGGGTCTCCTTCACTAGCAGAGGTTCACAAATTCAGATGTCTTACAGAAGCGTAGCAGGTAACAGAAATGCCTGAAGCAGGCCAGGTGTAAAGCACTATAGATGGCAGCCAAGTAAAACGCCACAGCTCGACGGGCCACACAAAGATCCTGCTGGCCCCGGAGATACCAGTTTGCGACCACTGTCTCAGGGTCTCTAAAATGGGTGGAGGCCTCAGTTCCCAGGCCCAAATCAGTAGACCTTTTTCTCCCTTATTCATCCCTCCTCCCCACTCGTCCTGTTCCCTTTCTGGTCTCCAGCTCGTTTTCCAAAGTTCCTGGCTTGAGAGTCAAGATACCAGGTTCTCCTACCTGCTGTTTCCTTAGTCCTAGGTCTCAGTTTCCTCATCTGTAGGCTGAAGATGAGGTGATTTCTACAAGCCCTTCCTGCTCTTCCTCTGGTACACCCCCGTCCTTCCTCTTCTCTCCCCTCATACTCTTACTTCTCTCCACCTTTGTTTTCTCTCCACATTCCTATCTTTCTCCTCTCCAGCCTCCCCCTTTCTTCTTTCCCGTCTCTTCCTGCTTACCTCTCTCCATCTGTGCCCCTTTTTGTCTCCCCATCTAGCTCTGAAAGGGGGTAAAGGGCTAGTGGCATGGGAGCCCCTGGGGTTGGGAAAAACTACCATCAGAGTACAGGCTCCTCTCCTTCCCTGAATAATCCCTACCTGGGTTGGGGTTTAATGAGGGGAAGCATCAACCTCCTGGAGCCTAGATTTGCAGAGCTGATGACCACTTACCTTTTTTGTCTCTGTGGGCATTATTCTGGGGGCCTTGAGTATCCCTGGGAGTCTCAACAGTAGGTAGATCCTCTATCTTCAGAGAATCCTCTTCTCCTGCTTCAGTCTTCATTCCAGGTGGATCCAACTTTCCAGGTGGGTCCTCCTCTCCAGGTATATCCTCTTCACTGGGCAGGTCCTCCTCACGCAGTGGATCGTCTTCCCCAGATGAATCTCCTCCTGTGGTGGGAGCCCCCTGCATCCAGAGCAGGCTCTGGGGATGGGCAGGCACCAGGAGGAGCAGTAATAACAGCAACTGCACAGCGGGGCCTGGGGCAGGGGCTGGGATCCACAGAGGGAGCCAGGGGCTGGGGCACAGGGGAGCCATGCGGCTGACTGTGGGGTGTCCTGGGACACGGTGTGTACGGTCTGTACGTGCATGAGAAACAGGAGCTGGATGGGGGAGGAGCAAGCCTGGAGGGGAGCAGACTGGCTCACAGAAGGCCCTTTTGTAGAGATGGAGCCAAAGCCCTGCAGGTCTGTCTGGCCCTGTGCCCCCTCCCTGATAGCAAAGTTGGGCATGGGGTGGAGTGAGGGGCAGGTATGTGCGCAGGTAGAAGGTTATCAGGGTCATGGGCTCAGCTTGGAACCCAAGGCACCACCTGGCACTATACAGGTTCTCCCTGGCACCGCCTGGCTGCTCGCCAGCCAACCTCAGCTAACCCTGGCCTGCTTCCCAGTTTTAGGCAGCTGGGGACCCCACGTCCTCTGGCTGAGAGGGGAAGCAGCCCATATATACATCCCTGGCCCAGCCAGGGAGCAGGTGAAGGGGTAGGGCAAGCTGTGGGGGGAGTCGGGGGGTGGGAGGGTGGATGGATGAGTAGGTGGGAGGCGAATTTGAGTATGAATGGAAAACTGTATATATTTATTAGAGAGTCTGATAGGTTTAAACTAAATGTATTATTCATCATATTACACCTTTGCTCAAAAACCTCCATTGGCTTTCCACACTCTACCAAAGTATCTTCTATCTGCCCATCTTCTCCCTCTAGTTGACTTCCAAGTCCCCTCAAAATACTACCAAAGAGACTTTTCCATCTTTTCTCCTACTACTCTCCCTCATACCCTAGCCAAATTAAACTATTCATTTTTTACCCAAACCTTTGTCCACCTTTGTTCATTTAGTTCTCACTGCTGGGAATGCCTTTCACTCTTCTATTTATTTAGCATCTACCATATGTCAGGCATTGGGCTAATAGACTAGATGTATGGAAATGAATAAGATGCAGTCCCTATCCCGAGGAGCTTGCTGTCTTGTGAGTGAGGGCAAAAATCATCATAATATTTGGGGGAGAGAGATGAATTCTGCCTCAGAAAGTAATACAGAAGTAGGCAAAATTTGATCAGGGCTTAAAGAAGTAGCAGTTCAATTGGTTTAAAAAAGAATGGGGGAGGGGCTTCCCTGGTGGCACAGTGGTTGAGAGTCTGCCTGCCGATGCAGGGGACACGGGTTCGTGCCCCGATCCGGCTGGGCCCGTGAGCCATGGCCGCTGAGCCTGCGTGTCCGGAGCCTGTGCCACGACAGTGAGAGGCCCGCGTACCACCAAAAAAAAAAAAAAAAAAAAAATGGGGAAAATGGCATTCTGGGCAAAAGGGAGGCACCAAATACTTTGAGCAGAAGAATGACAGAATCCAAATCTCATTCTAGGTTATGTTGAAGGGTAGTGTGGAGTACGAATTGGAGGGGGAAAGTGGGTGCAAGGAGATGAATAGTGAGAGGACCCCAACAATGGGCTGGGATTCCCAGTCTGCCTATTCACTTAACATTTGGTAAGCTTCCTCTAGTCCTCCAGGCACTGTTCTAGACCCTAGGGATGCAGCATTGAACTGGAGAACAGCCTCTGCTGTTCTACAGCTCACATTCTAATAAGGCCCCTATGGCTTCAACAAACCAGAAGAGAGTAAGGCCATCTCAGGAGATCCTTATCTGGGGCTAACATTCAGTAGGTACAGACACCAGTATGGTTGTATAGGTAATTAAATATATTGAAATATTTATAATCTGGTTTGTAACTAGTCCCTAACTCCAGGGTGCTCCTGCTACCCCACTCCTACCTAGGGACTGTCCTGACCTTATGAACTCACTAAAGAAGTAATGCTTGACACAGCAGGGGCTCCAGGACCCCACTTGAATGCCCCAACCAGTTTCCACTCTGGTAGGTCAGTAGTTGTGCACGAATGCACCCACTAACATGTTAAACAGCTTTACTATCTCCTCTGTCTAAATCCCTTCTATTATTCAAAACTCAGTTCATACAACCACTATGGAGAACAGTATGGAGGTTCCTTAGAAAACTAAAAATAGAACTACTATATGATCCAGCAATCCCACTCCTGGGCATATATCTGGAGAAAACCATAATTTGAAAAGACACATGCACCCCAATGTTCATTGCAGCACTATTTACAATAGCCAAGACATGGAAGCAACCTAAATGTCCATCGACAGAGGAATGGATAAAGAAGATGTGGTCCATATATACAGTGGAATGTTACTCAGCCATTAAAAAAGAATGAAATAATGCCATTTGCAGCAACATGGATAGACCTAGAGATTATCATAGTAAGTGAAGTAAGTCAGACAGAGAAAGACAAATACCATATGATATCACTTATATGTGGAATCTAAAAACACATGATACAAATGAACTTATTTACAAAACAGAAACAGACTCACAGACTAGAAAACAAATTTATGGTTACAAAGGGGAAGGTGGAGGGGAGGGGTAAATTAGGAGTTTGGGATTAACCTATACACACTACTATATATAAAATAGATAACCAACAAGGACCTACTATATAGCACAGGGAACTCTACTCAATATTCTGTAATACCCTATATGGGAAAAGAATCTGAAAAAGAATGGATATATGTATATGTATAACTGAGTCACTTTGCTGTACACCTGAAACTAACACAACACTGTAACTCAACTATACTCTAAGATAAAATAAAAATTAAATAATAAAAAAAAAGACTCAGCTCAAAGGCCATCTCTTCTAGGAGGTCTTGCTTGACCAACTTTACACCACAGGAAGAGATTTCTGGTGCCTCTGAACCACCACAGTTCTTTGCCCTCACTAACAACCTTGTCTAGCATCCAATTCATATTAAGGTGATTTATGACATTATATCTGCTCCAATAGCCTTGAGGTCCATAAGGGCAGGGTCCAGTATTTGATTGATTGAGTCTGTCTTTTGTTCAGTATTACTTTATTATTGATCATTTTTCTCTCTGCAGATCACCGAGACAGGGCTTGAGAAAAACCAAACTAAATGCCTTCCCTGCCCTCAGGGAGCCCATTGTCAATGGCCTGTGTGTTTCAAACCGCAATTATTCCAGGAGCAGGACATCACATTTCTACAGCACCCCAAACTGTCTGCCTTGTCAGAGTGACTGTCATACTGTATGCCAAAACTTGTATGGCTGAACAAGCAGTCTTCTTAGGAGGTAGTCAGCCTAATGATCTAGGTTGCCATTTCTGGAGCTAAATTAAGAGCCATCCATGGCAATCTGATCCAGTGTGAACTCCTGATGGTCAGCTCATTGTCTTGGTCAGCTGTGTTGTCAGAACCTTGGTTGGACCCAGACACATGGAAAGTACATGGTAATATCTAAACTGGATGGGCCTGGACAAGACAGAATGTGGTAACGACTAATCTAGTTGAGGTGGAGGAGGTCATGGGAAGCATGGAGGACAGAAACACCATGCTAACTGAAGTCTGGAGTCTGTATGTCTAGAACTTTCTCCAACACCAATCTTAGTTTTATTTCATTTTCCCTCTTTCCAAATGTTTTGAATGTTTCCACCTTTTTCCTTTTTAGATCTCCATCAGGGTCTCCTTGTACAATTCTCCTTGGCACTTCTATGTGTCCACATGTCTCCCCTCCATCTCTGCTGCTTTTTCTCAGTATTTCAGAGTCCAGATTGCATCTAGGTACAGCTCTCTCTGTATTACAGCTCCCTAATTTCCCAAGTGCCATTCTCCATGGTGCTGTCTCTTTCTTGAGCTCTCTGTCTCTGTGTGTGACTATGTCTCTGGTCTGGGTGGGGAATGTGGACTCTGACCCAAGATCGTGCTTTTGCAACTGGGAGTCTGCCAAACCCTAAAACAGGTTTGAGCTCCCAGAGTCTTGTTTCCTGAGTCTCCTCAGGGACAGAGTGTACTCAGGACTGATTGACTAAGGACACCCCCTCCCCCCACCCCGGCCTGACACACGACCTCTCTGTGGTTGTTTAAGGCCAAGTTTTTGGTCATTAGGGTCTATGTCTTAAGACATCGAGGGCCATGTCTCTGCTTATCCCAGGGCTGCAGAGGAGGGAGCTATTTGCTGGTGAAGTAGGAGGAAAAAGAGCCCCCTATTCCCCAGACATGGATTGGAAGCAAAGACAAATCACAGCCCTTCTGGGGCCCTGGAGACTCACCTGTAGTTCTGGCCCAGCTCACCATCAGTATTATTTTCCTAGGACTGCTGTAACAAATTAACACAAACTGGGTGGCATAAAACAACACAGATTTATTCTTTCACAGTTCTGGAGGCTAGAAGTCTGAAATTAAGGTGTTGGCAGGGCCCTGTTCCTTCTGAAGGCTCTAAGGCCTCTTCTAGCTTCTGGTGGCTCCAGGCATTCCTTGGCTTGTGGCTGCATAACTTCAGTCTCTGCTTCTGACTTCACATGGCCTTCTTCTCTTGTCCTTATGTCTTCTACTGGATGTCTCTTACCATTGGATTTAGGGCCCACCAGGATAATCCAGGATGATCTTAAGATTCTTAATTTAACTACATCTGCAAAGACCCTTTTTCCAAATAAGGTCACATTCACAGGTTCTAGGGGTCAGGACATGGACACATCTTTATGGGGGCCACCATTTAGCCCACTACACCATCAGCCATTTTGGAACTGAAGTGGGTGCACGGGATGAGAAGGAATGAGCTTGTGCTGGGGACCTTCATGTCTTCTGCCCATATCCCTCTTCATGTCCTTTGTAGGCAGTTTCATTTACTCCCATAGCTTCTATACTTGAGGACAGCCAAGTATCCCCAGGTTGGACTACCCCATGTCAGATCTATAACCACCCGCCAAATGGATATCCCCACTTGGATGTCCCACAAGTATCTCAAATTCAACAGGCCTGTAGCCGAATTCATTTGTCCCCAAAACCTCTTCTTCCATACTCCACCAAGTGGTCTAAGCCAGGAGCCTGGTGCCATCTTTCATCTTTTCCTTCACGTCTGAAGGAAAGTCAAGTCATCAAGCACTATGGATTCTACCTTCTAAACTTTTCATCCTCATTTTTCATCCTAGTCCACACTTCCATCACCTCTTACCTGGGTAACTGCACCAGCCTCCTAATGGGTCTTGCTGAGTCCAGCTAGCCAGGGTGATCTCTCTAAAATGCACATATAATCTCACTCCCTATTTAAGACCTCTGAATGTTTCCCATTGCCCTTAGGATAAAGTCCATAGTACTACTTGACATGGCCTTCAGAGGGCTGCCATTGCCCTGTTCTCCTTGATGGGTTTGCAACCTAGGTGGGTCCAGTCAGAGTGAAGCTCTCTGTCTCAAGTATTTGATAACTGAGGGAATTCACTTTCACTTTGTCCAGACATGGATGAGGAAACACACAGCCTCTGGAACTGTGGGCAGCCACCTTGTAACCCCAATGGAAGCCAGCCTTAAGGTGATAAAACCATGGAAGGCAGAGTAGAATGGTAGAAAGCAGTCCTTGGTGATTTGACTGAGCTGCTGGATTAAGCTAACCCAAGTCGTCCCCCCCCCCCCCCCCCCGTATCTGGACTTTTCAGTTGCATGAGCCGATAAATTATCTTATCTTATCGTTTAGCCACTTTGATTTACGATTACTTGTGACACAGTCTTACTGATATAAATTCCCTCTATGGTTTGGCCTGTGTCTACCTCTCCAGTTTCCTTTCTCATCACACTTTCCTTTGCAATCTGTGCTCTAGTCTTATTAAACTTATAGCAGTTCCTTGAATGCATTGCATGCGTGTGCATGTGTGTTTTATCTCCGAGCCTTTGTCCATGCTATTTGTCTCTCTGTCCACCGCACCCACATTGCCGGCCCTGCCTAGCCAGGTTTTGTTTTGTTTATCCTCCTGGCATCCTTCAGTTCACATGTCACTTCCTCCAAGAAGCCTCCCTGACTCCTAGGCTAGGGCCAGTCCCTTCACTCCTGCATGCATAGAAGCCTATATTTCCTTTGTAACGTGTATCTCACTTTATGGTGACTCCTTACCATGTGTGTCATGCTGGATTAAAAGCATTCATAAGGGCAGGGG